ATGCCGCAGGTGGTGGAGCAGAAGCCCATATCCGACGAGGACAGAGGGAAGGCCAGTGCAACACTGTAATCGCTTGTGTGCCGTGGCAACGACATTGACCGACTTTGGACGCCATGGAAGGACACATGAGCAAGACTTCTTAAGGGAGACTGCCTTTAGGGACCCATACGTCACAGGTGGAAACAGAGCTGGCCAAAGCAGAAGCTGCACGTGCTGCAGCTGCAGCTGCAGTTGCTGCAGAGCGGGCGGCTGCTGCCGAGTCAGCCAAGGCGGCCGCAGAGAAGTCCGTTAGCTCAGAAATTCACCCAAGAGCATGCAAGATCAGTGAAGTGTTTTTGATGTCAAGTTCTTTCAGGTCCACTGTCACCAATGCTGCGGCGGTGGCAGAGGCAGCAGCAAAGGCAGCTGCAGACGAAAAGGCAGCCGAGGAGGCGGCCAAGGCCGAGGGTGAGCGGTCCAAGAATTGGCGTGGTTATTATGCGTGCATGGCCCATGCTGGGTCGCTCTCGCAGAGGCATTTGCTGCGGAGATGAAGATGTCTCGCAGCATCGCTCGTGCATTGGTGCCCGAACAAGGCCCTGAGGCGGTGCACTCAGGAACCGCAAAGGTGACAGTTGAGTCGCTCGGGCGTCAGGCCGAAAGCTCATGATCTAAGGCCGCCGCCATCGTCAACCTGAACTCAGAGGCAGACTGTGAGTTCATGCTGGCCGTTGCTCGTCCCTTATCGTCCAAGAGTCCAATCCTTTGCGTTGCGTGGCGCTGAAACGTTTTAGAGGTGATGGAAGTTCCGCGAGCAGTGTGGTACGCACTGTTCTATGGGGCGGCTAAACCGGCCAAAACCGATAAGTGTAAAGAGAGTTTCTTACTGTCCGCTCGCAGCGCGAGCAGAAAAGAGCTCGTCGGGAAAAGTTACCACTGTGGCGACGTGCAGATTTTGCGCTACAGAGCATCGTGGTGGACCCTCATCTATTGCAATACATGGCACGTTTTTGGTGAAGAAGCAGTATTTGGGCGAAAGGATTCTGACCGTCCTCCTGCAAACTCCTGAAAGACGCCAGTGCGTTGGGGGACAGCATTCGAGCGGCGCCATCGATTCCTTTGCTAATCTGGCCAGTGCTGCGGAAAGCAGGCGGTGGGCCGCCTTCTAAAGCAACGGCCATGAAGACTCCCACCACCCTGCAGGTCCTGCATGTGGCGTCACCTTTCAACTTCTACCGCGCCAGAGCGGGTGATCGTGGAGGGCGGCATGGTAGAAACTGTTGCGTTGTGGTGCCAGAACACAGTAGCTTTTGTCGCCGGCCGTTGATACCATCATGTCCTTGGACAGAGGAGGGTGCGTGGGCGTTTTTCCGGACATGACGCATGTAGCTAGAAGCACACCTCATTCTTCCCAGACATCTTTGTGCCGATCCCAGTTGTGCAGCTGCGCCTGTCACGCATTTGTACGCAGTCTGTGCAGGAGACCCGGGATGTTCGGGAGAAGGCCATGCCAAAGCTTCCTGAGGAGATTTCAGATTTTCACATCCGTTGGCACTCTGACGGGACGCTCATGCATGAGTGCAGGAAGTGCCTGCAGATGGGCCTCCACGACCTGGACACCGGCGCAAGGCGGCTCCAGTAGACGATGAAGAGGCTGCAAGGAGGGCGTGCCTAGGCATTTTGGTGACGTTTTTGCCAAGCCGGCCCGGCCCCAAGGGGGCCCCCATCTGCAAGCCCAGGAAGATGAGCCGGCTTACGGACTTGTGCGATCGCCTTCTCGAGCGGGGAGTGCTGGTTTACGCACCGCGCTCATCGTAGGTCAGAGCCACGTGTCAACTGCCAGCTGCTAGCAGTGGACCCAAGGATTCGGCCCGTGAGCTGCTTGCGATTGATGTCCGACAGCGGAAGGGCGAAAACCTGACTGGAGAAGAAGAATTGGCAGAGACACCGAAGCAGGCACGTCGGTTGTGGCACTCACCTATAGCCTATAGCACTGAGCCTCCTGTTGCCCGTTGCGTTTCCAAGAACCGAATGCACGCGATGCAAAAGCCTGGTTAACATGGAGATGGAGATGCCATCAAAGTTAAGTGTTCTCACTAGCCCGCACCATGTCGCAAGTGTTTGTTTGCAGGCATCGGCCACCAAAGGCGACAAAAGACCTGCAACCGACGCCGCACCTGAGGCAGGACCACGGAGCAAGCCCTACACTACACGCCAATGATACAGCACGCCCCGATCTGATCTCTGACTCTGGGGCAACATTTACTTCAAACGTTATTTTCGAGAGGTCCAATTCACCAACAAGCGCTTCAAAGCTGGCAGGGGCCGCAGTTTTCGTTGCGGTTTCTTGCAACATCTTGCAACTTCTTCCTGCCAGCTGTGTCGCATCGTGTGGTGTGAACAAAAGCTTTGTGCAGAAGTTGCCTTCAGGAGCGAATGATGCCCCGGTCGTGGAAACAGTCGAAGCCAACTCGACAAGTTCGGCAGGCATTTGCAAACGGCAAGGATAAGAGCTTCCGTCTTTTTGCAGAGCCGTGAAACATGACGTTGTGCTTGCATCGTGGCCTGCGTGATAACATCTTAGAGCTTGGCTTCTTCTACCTGGCCTGACATGCCAGGTCCGTCTTCCGCATCACTGCTGTGGCAGCCCCTGCCTCGACACAAACTCGTTTGGTGCGGTGCACAGCAGTCGTGGGCATGCAGTTTTTCTCAGCACCTTTTGTTACGTTTCCCGATATGTCACTATGTCGGCTTGGCGTCGCTTGTTGCTTGCTGTTGTGTGAGCAGTGCTTCCCCTCCCTTTATTTCTGATCCCTGCTACCTATGCGGATTTTGCCGTGCCATTGATTGATGCAGCAGCAGGGCTGCACTCTCGAGTTTTCGGTGGAAAGACAACAGACCTGTCACATGCAGAGGTCGAGTTGGTCAGGAGATACTTTCGCGTTTGTTCTGCACCATCACATGCCTTCACCTCTGGTGCCTGGCACGCTGTTGGCTTGAAGCAACCTCTGCAGCAGAACTTGCAAGTTGCAGCAGATTCCATGACATGAAGCGAGCTATGCATCCTACAGAAAGGCTTCGCTGGGGCCACAACCCCGACGAGATCAATGGCCCGTTCGACTCAGTCACGATGCAGGGCTGGATGATGCAGGTCGGTGCAGGTCATGTCAGATTCTGATCCCACATTCGTGAATTTGCAATGCCGGTCCACTTCCCTGTCAGGGTTGCTTCTCGGATGAACGCCCGGCTGAGTTCCGTCAGTGCGACGAGAAAAACCAGCCCAAGGAGAGTTGGCCTTGTGAGCATCTTCGGAAAGCTGTTTCAGCTGCCAGGAGCAATGCTGGCACCGATGGGACAAGATTGACTTCGAGCTGTACGTGTAGCATCTTGGTTACGATGTCCAGGGCCGGAGCCAGTTGTGCAGGCGGTTGGTTCTGGCGTTGAAGCCGCGAGCTTGCGCACAGCATGCGCCAGCCATGGAAAATGCAAAATGCCGTGAATTCCTTTCTTGCAGCTGCTTCACGCGCCGTTTGCTACCTTCTTTGGGTTTGGAGATGTGAGAGCTAAAGCGTCATGTCAGCTGGCGCTGTCATCTCTCTCAGCCTTGTTCGCCGAAGCTGTTCATGGCCCAAGCTGCGACGAGAAAACCTTCTGCCCCAGAGGGGCCCAGAGGGCCAGACAGTACGACGAGAAGGTCAAGGACTTGAAGATTGACCAGCAAGAGGCATTGGGATCATGCTGGGGTGAGGGGTTTCTCTGTTGTTCTTGCGTTTCATTTGCTGGACGTATCCTGCTGCCTGGTTAGGTGAAGACATGACGTTTCGCTGTGAAACGTAGCTCGGCAGCACTGCACGCTCGCAGACTGTGTGCCGCCGAACCATTACCCCCGTCCACTCATGAGCTTCCCGCGGCCTATATAGTTGGCTTGAACAGTCGTCAAGGACAGTAGTCCATGTTCATGTGGGCATCCCACTTGGAGGTGACAGTATAGTCCAGCATTTCAACACTATTCTCGCCTTGCAGGGATTACATGTGGCTCCCAGCCTTCGGCGAGGATGAGAAGAATTGGCCCAATGGGCTTCGAATAGCACTGGCCTCATCGTGAGCCTTGTGCTCGCAGCATGGCTTCCTTGCACAGCAGGAGGCGTTTGTCATGGTATGCTACATGCTTGGAATGTAGCACAGTCAGCAGCTGGAAAGACAGGCACCGCCAGTAGTGGCTCTCATCCAGGTGTGGGTAGCCCGCATCCCTCTAGTTTACGCGAAAGATCCTTAGGCAAGGGAGAGAGGTGGCACTTAAGCCCTTCCAGTACCCTAGGCTGCCGTGACACGTAATGCCACCGCAACTCCGCACAAAAAGCGACCTCGTCTTCCCAGTAACCGAAAGGAGGCGTCGATGAACTCAAGGTGCAAAGGTTTTCGTATGGATTCAATGCGAGAGGAAAGCAGAGAAAGCCCGGCCTGTGAGCGACGTGACTATAAAGGAAATCGGTGTTGTGCATGTCTTACTTCTATACTTGGTTTTGCCCTTGTCATTTTGTTCTTTGCTACCAGACTTGAAAACTCAGAAGGCTGCGCATGGTACATAGGCACGGCACAGGGTATCAATGTCCCCCCCAACTGCTTTTTGATGCCGCCGAGTTCCTCTACGTGCTGGGCCTCTTCTACTGTTTCCTCGGAGTGGCTGTAGTGTCTGACGTGTTTATGAATGCCATCGAAAGGACAGGTCTGCGCACGAGAGGTTTCGATTCTTTCATTTGCAGTGCCGAGTTCCATGCTTTGCAGGATAACATCCCAGAAGAAGAGGGTCAAACTTAAGTCGACTGGGAAGATTGCCTGCCGCCCAGCCCTCCAGACCTGACTGGTTTGAATCGTCACGACTGATATGCTTGCTCACACTGGTTGCCCGTGTCGCATGGCAGAGACAGAGCCTTTGGAAATGCTGCTCGGCCATCTTCGCCAGAGAAATGCGAGTAGTGATAAAGCTTAAGTTTGTCCTGAAGCTTTACGCAGATGCTGCGCCTCATGATGGCCTGTTGCAAAAGTGCTGCTTCAGACAGGTCACGCAAACGGTATGGAACGACACCATGGCCAACCTGACGCGCCTTTCCTGCACACATCGTGGCATCTCACAGCCCTGCCGAATGGTTGGCAGAGTTCCCACTGTAATCCACCATACCGTACATTCCTAGAGGTCCTAGACTCCGTGCCGTGAAGGAGGCAAGCACGGCACCCGAACCCTCTTGCTGCTGCATCGCGAGGTTAATGGCGCTGGGCTCGAGTGCTCCAGAGATCCTCCTCAGTGTTATCGATGCTTGGTTAATGTCTGAAGTGAACGCAAACTTGCGATCCGTGAATTTGTGGTGTGATCAGCTGTTGCACTCCCAAGGAGATCATGACCAACGAAATGTACATCGGCGATCTGGGCTCCGGCACGGTAGTAGGCCGCAACTCTTAAATGCCGCAAGACAGCATGACCGTAACATGGTGCAGTGCTGTGGTTGCAGCTACAGATACCACTCTCGCTTGGCAGGCAGTGCGGCGTTCAATCTGCTTGTGATCAGTGCCGTTTGCGTCTGCGCAATACCAGATGGGGAGGCTGGTGCATAGATCAAAGGGCAGTGGGCACAGTTCAGATGGCAAGCCAGCCCCAGTGTGCTCGACATTTGCGCTGCGGGCCATGAGACGAGCAGGTGCGATACATCAAGGACACGCAGGTGTACGGTGTGACTGCACCTTTGGCTTCTGTTGATGAGGACGGTCACTTCCTACACGCCGTTGTAGGGCTACAATAGGGCCGCGGAGCTAGCAGGCAACAGGCATGATCCCAGCACCTTCCCCCTTGACAGTCGAAACCTGCAGATGTCATTGCACGTCGGCGTGCCTTGTACAAGCAACTGCTTAAGTTCTGCAACTGGTCCAATGGAATCCAATGGCGTTGCCAGCGCATGGCCATCCGAGGCGACTTTCTCCATCTTGGCTTATGCAGCTGCTTCTGCATGGCATGCAAAATGTTCAGTTCTTCATTGGTGCAGTAGGTTTGGGTATGCAAGAGCCCGCCCGTTCAAACTCTTTGAGGAACACCCACATTTTAGGCGACCTCCCCCAATTCTGTTCGACACGCACCAGCAACAGCTTTGCAGAGAGGTTCTAGAATCTACAGAGCCACAGAGCCACCGAAGTTCGCAGTGTGCTCAGGTCTGGCTTTTGTTGATCCTCATGGTGATCTCCCCGGATATTTGCGAGCTCTGGGAAGCTGTGGCACATCGACTTCACAAGTTCGCATCAATTTCTTTCTGTCTTTCTACGGTGTCTTGTCTCGTTGAAGCATGTCGCGATAGTTTGATATTGAGGTGACCTTCCTGCTTTTTCCCGCTCCTTGGTCTCGCAGTTTTCATTCGCAGTCGTTTGAGAACATGTTTGAACATTGCGAGTTGCTTGACAACCAGTGTTTTGCTCAGGTTCTGCTCATGATTGCCTTTGCCGCGGACAAGGCTTGCGACCTCCTTCGGATGAGCTTGTGCTGTCTTTAATCTAAGAAAGCAAGCAGAGATCGAGCGAGCAGGGCTACTTTTCTCCTGGTGGTGACGAAGCCCCCAAACAGGATGAGAACTTCCACGGATTCTCGGAGAAGTTGGAGTGATCTAAAGCAGGCGTTTTTTTGTGAGTGCGTTTGTGGATGTATATGAGCTTCTTGCTCTGCCGGTTCGTTGCTGCAAAGGAATATTCATTCAGGTTTTCTTGTGATGCTGATTCGGTATCTGCATAGTGCGTGCGAAGTACTGCTGGTCCCACCTTATCCGGAAGACTCGGCAGGAGTTTCGATTTATCCGCGTTCTGAGTGGCTTCGAAAACAAGAAACCCAACGTCGAGCCTCAATGAAAACACATCAAGATGTTCAGGTTGATTTGTGATGCAGGGCAGTGATGTCTTGAAACTTCTTGAATTCTATACGCCTCCCCCGGGGGCCTTGGATCTGGTCTTTGGGTCTGCCGGTTTTTGGTTCTCCCCAATAGCTTTACTAGCTACTTTATTTCGGTCGCACCGTCACCGCCGCTGCTACTGCTACGCCACTGGTACAGCCCTGGCTGTTGTTTCCGCCACTGTTGCCTCGCTCTTTGCTTTTTCATTATCGTTACCAGTGGTACTGTTGAGCTACCCGGGCCAGGCAATCAGGATCTTGAGTTACACTTTCAACGTATCATGCTTCTCAACCCTAATCGCAGCCCAAATCCAAAGACCTCAGCTGCCCACATGTGCAGCTGACCCAGGATTCCGGTCCTCTCCAGACCTCCCTGTCCGCCTTTCCCTTCCGGTGTCCCCGGGTGCTGCTGCTCACCAACCCTCGCCGAAAGTCATGCATCCACGTAGCCCGGTAAAGGTTTCTGACCGCTACTCATTTTACCTTTCATGCTTTCCTCGCGAACTGTGTCCTGGCATGTTTTCGTTGCGCGGTGTCGTAGCTGTAGGCTCACCTCTTCGAGTGCGAGTTCCTTCACCTAACTTGGAGTCCCGCGGGGTGTGCGAAAAACCTTCGCCGACGAGCTTGCGTCCAGCCTTCTCAAGGTGTTTATGCGATCAGGCGGGAGATTGCATGACTTGCACGACAAAGAGCAGGTGGAAATGTGCAGTAGCAGATTAATTATCACCGTTTTGTGCATGGCACGAGCCTGGGATCAAGAACTCGAGATGGAGTAAAGAGCACAAGCAAACACAAAATAGTAAGGAGGCGTATTCATTTTGGGATCTTTTTCTTTGGGTATTGTTTGCAATCTGGGTGCGTGCGCGGTCTCTCGGCTTTTGTTGTTTTGGCGTTTTTGCCTTGGCCTCTCGACTTCTTACAGCCTCGTGGCCTGGAGCATGCTGCCTTCTTGTCTTGCATGGCTTCTTGGCTTCTCGGTTTCGTTGGCTTCTTGGCTTTTTCTGCCCCTCGGCTTCTTGGCCTCTCGACTTCTAAGAGCCTACGTGTGTTCCTTTTGTTTTCCTGGCCGGTTTTTGTGTGAACACACTTTTACTTTGTGAACTCCGTAATTCATTTGAGCCCAATGCGAAGGCTGTGCAACTCTGCAGGCGCTTTGGTTTTAGCACTTGAACAAGATTGTTTGATGATCTCAGGCTTTAAGGACAATTATTTTTTAGTTTTGCAAGTTTTTTTGTGGTGAGGGGGGTTGTGTCCATAGGAAGAACCTTAATTTTCGCTATGTTCTCGTAGGAACACCTTTTTTCTCTCCTCTATATCTGCATAGCAAAAACCTCTATTTTCATCTAGTTTCCTCTGTGGAAAACATACTTTTTCTCTTTGCTTTTTTAGGGAACTGTATATTTTCTTTTTATTGTCATGGGAACTGAAGGGAAGAAGATAGGGACAGAACGAAAGACAGACAGACAAGCTTGCCTCAAAGCAGTATCTTTAAAACCCATCATGCGAGCATTGTGTTTGCAATGTGGAGGGGGGGCGCATTTCTATGCCGCGCAAGCTTGCTTCAAATCACATGAGTGTTTTTGGATACCATCACGCCAGCAATATGTTTGCAAATGGGAGGAATTGCGCCCTCCCAACCATTCGCTGTTGTCGCCGTGCAAGCTTGCTTCAAAGTATGAGTTTTTCCCTTGTTGTGGCCGCATGCGATTACTGTGTTTGCGGGCGGGTTGTAGATAGATGATGCACCGGAATCGCCAAATGAGGGCGCGTTTAAGATATGATGTGCCGGAGCCGCCTATGAGGGGGCGTCCTTAAGATGTATGAAGGACCGGAATCGCCAAATGAAGAACGTGTTGTGGATATATAATGAATCGGAACCGCCACATGAGTGGCCGTGTTGTAGATATATGATGCAAGCGGAATCGCCAAATGAGGGGGCGTGTCTAAGATATATGATGGTATGATGAACCGGAATCGCTTGTGAGGGGGCGTGTTTAAGATGTATGGTGAACCGGAGTCGTCAAATGAGGTGGTGTTTAAGATGTATGATGAAGACGGAATCGCCAAATGAGGGGGTGCGTGTTTAAGAGATATGATGAACCGGAATCGCCAAATGAGGGGTGTGTGTGTGTGTGTGTGTGTGTGTGTGTGTTTCAGACATACGACGAAGACGAAATCGCCAGATGAGGGGGCGTGTTGTAGATATGAGGAACCGGAATCGTAAAAAATGAGGGGGCGTGTTTAAGATACATGTGTTTAAGATATATGATGATGAGGGGGCGTGTTGAAGGAGCAATGAGGGGGGGGGGCGTGTTGTGGATATATGATGAGCCGGAATCGCCAAATGAGGGGGCAATGAGGGGGCATGTTCAAAATATTGAAGTCTGAAGCTCAATCCCGTGGCCAAGTGGCCACTAAGTTTGCTTGCTAGGTGACGCAAAACGTTGTGGAGTCGGAGTGGCTACATGGCCCCTGTTTTTGGTGGCTAAGTAACATCGGCACCGAAAAAGCTATTAAAGCATAAAGAAAGAAACTAGGGTTTTCCAAAGAAAATGTAGCGAAAACACAGCTTTTCCTATGGAAATACAGAGAACCCAGCCCAGCCGCAAATAAACATAAACAAAATGTTCACAAACTATTTCCAGACCCCTGAAATAGTAAAGGCTTCGGAAATTAGATGTTGCACTTCGTCCGTAAAACTGGCCAATTCATGGCACAGAGGCGACTGTCGTGCTGCATGTTGCGCACTCGTACCGAGGAATGAGGGACGCCAGTATGTGTGCTAGCTAGCTTCATGTTCTGACGTTCATGCTGCACCAAGGTGCATGGCCAGCAAGAGCATCGAACTCGTGTTTTCGTTAAGTTCAGTTTGAAAGGAAAGGGCTAAAGGATCGGCATCCTTCGACTTTCGCCAGAACCTTTCCGTCTTCGGGTTGAATAATCCAGAGAAGGGGAGACAGGGCCTGCAGGGGCAAGGCCATCCAAGGCCACTGCTCTACATCTACCAGATCATGACACTGTTGCGGCTGCCCCTCTTGACGTTTTGTTCTTGCATTTATTCAATTGTTCACAACGCTTTGCATGGTTCTCTTGCGACACCCAAAATCCAGTAGAGGACACGCAGGTGCACAGCGTGTGCTGGGCCTGGGGTATTGAAGGGGTTTAAGAGGACGGGAAACAGGGCTTTTTGATTTGGGGTAAATCTGATTCGGTTGGAGTCGGTGCGAATCTCTGTAATATGTGAAGTCTTTCTCACAAGTTGCTCGCAACCTCGCCGCCTGAGCCTCTCGAGTGCGAGTGCTAAAACATATGTGGCCGTACGCGAAGGACGGTCGGGCGGGTGGTCGGGAAGTAGGTTGGTCGGTCGGTCGGCAGGTAAGCAGGCAGGGTGCTGAAGACTTTGTGTCTGTTTGTGCTAGCGTTCGAAGCCCAAGTCATGATACACGCTCAAACGTGCCAAGCTGAAAATCAAGGAGCTATCCCGCCAGATGTTACCAAAGAGGAGTGACTTGATCCAGCTACGCATTGGTGCTTGTTCTGCCTTGCTGAAAGTCTGAAGCATGTTGTGCGGGCTGTGACGAAATGCTGATTGGTTGTTGTTTGCAGATGTGATTGCCCACACCTAAGGTTGGCGGAGATCGAGCAAAGTATTCGAGAGGAGTACAATCACAAAATCTCGGATCCTGGTTTTTGATTGAGCATGGCATTCATTTCAGCGTCAACACGTGCTGACGTACTGCGCGCAAATGCAGAGAGGGAGGAGCGAGGGACCCAAAGAGGGAGGTGGAAGGATGGACAGCATGACAGTGAGAGGATCAATCTTACAATAAAAACGTACAACAAGGGGACACACAACAAGGGTGCGCATTCACACAGAGCAACGGGAGGGACAAATCAAAGACGGAGCGGAGCGGCGACAGAATGAATGACACTATAAACAACAATGACGGTAGTCTGCATCAGGGACGTCATAGCGCATGCTGGAGATGGATGCAGACACAAATGACAACACAGAGGAGTACATATCTGAGGATGGCAACAACATGTATCATACCATTGAACATAAAAGTTCATTCAAGCATTGACTCTAAGCTACCACAAGGTGTGTGTGCAACGCCAGACATGAAGTCACAAGCAATCTCGACCAAGACCGTCAGACTTTTGCAGAGAGGGCTTACGACTTACGGGTCAGGACGTACGGGTGGCCGGAAGATTGCGCCGGAGACCCACCCGGGAAATATCAAGAGCAAGCAAATGACCAGTCGCTCACTCCCTGATCTCGCGCCCGATGGCGGCGGAGCAAACAATGAGACATGCAAGAATTCCCTCCGCCCTTAAGACTCGGCTTGGACTGTGTTGCAGATCGAAGACTGTGTTTCATTTGCACTAGGTCTTTGCCCGTGTAAGGATGACCAGTTGGTCCGAGTGATACAGCACATGTACATCGGAAAGCCGTCTCGCCCCTTGTTTGCACTTGCGGTCATTGGCCCATCGGCCGTTCTGTGGGTTTAGTTTGTAGGACCCAGGCAGGAGTAGGCTTGCAATGAGCTTTCGCACAACACCCACAGTATTGACTTGCGAAACAGCTGAAAGTTCTTCGCGCCCTGAACCTAACTTGGATTCCGAAGGCGCCTTCTACCGCCATGCGGCCATGGAAGGCATTGTGGGAGGCTGGTTTGCATGCCTCTTTGGATTCGGAAGTTGCCTTTGCCACGCTTGCTCATCTTCTGATCAGGCAAAAAGGCTGACTTTGGTGCCCACTCTGTGCCTGTGAACTTTGTCTCTGCACCCCACAACACAGCTGACGAGCTCAGCAAGGGCAAGCTCGCGCCTCCACGGCAAATTTGGCAGTTTGACCGAGTTGTGAAGATGACGCAAATGTCACCAAGTGCCCGCACGCTCAGGTGGAGGTTGGATTTGAGAGGGAGAAATACGCTTTCCTAGAGCTGCTCGGTCTCGCAACTAAGCAAGTCCTCCATTCCGACAAGAATGTGATTCTTCGTGGTTGAGGTCCTGCCACATGGCGAAGCTGCAGCTGATGCGTTGTGGCCTACCTGACAGAGAGGTCACCGTGCAGGCCAGACCCTGCAGAGTCAATGCTGTGCATGGAGCAGACAGCTGTAGGGATGCCCACTGCTTCCAGTTGAAGCAAGCGGATTTCCGCACTACACTCCCAGAGGTGACACAGAGAGTCTGACAAAACTTCATGACCACCAACGGCACTGCAGATAGTGATAGGTGTACGACATCAACATAGGCTGGGAGCGATTCGATTTAGCCGGGTGGGGGCCGAAGGAGGGGGGGCGGTGGCGAGAACGCCACGAGCGACGAATGCGATGCACGATTACTCCTCGCATTTTTTTCCGGAGTTGCTCGAGCCGACGAGCGTGGCCTCGAGTCTAGAGGTGACATGAGGTGTCTAGAGTCTAGAGCGCGGCATCACCAGCAAGAGCAATTGGAAATTGTGCGCAATGCACAATTCAACGTTTCTCTGGAGTATAGGCTACAGAAATTCAGATGCCGGCTGGAACAACAGCAGGGTTTGTGCGAGTGGAGAGAACGAACGTTTTGCATCCTCACGGTTGCCTTGGTTTTTGAACAGTTTGTGCACGAGCAGTCGGCAAGATTCACTTGCATCTGCGAAACTTGTGACAGGCGGTGCTAAGGTACCCTCGGTTTGATGTGAGTAGCCGGCATCATGAGTCCCGAGATGATCTTGCATGGCTGTCTGCATGGCATGTGGGACTGAGTGACAATATCACGTGACGATTCCGGGGTCCGAATGACCATGATGATTTTTTCGATGCCACTTTCCCCATGGTCCGAGGTTACTTCGCGTGAAGGCACTGCGAAGGCCAACTCAGATTTCAAGCCGGTGGATGAAACTGCCGCTGGCTCAGGGAGAGTTCCGGAGAGGTGCTGAGAGCGAAACGAGAACGCACCGCGGCACCCGCACTTCTGATAGTGAGACACATTGCGGCTGCCTCCGGGAATTGCGGTCGCCATATTCAATACACAATTGGTGGTGCCGCAATTTGCCACAGAGAGCAGTTAACCAGCCGGCAAATATGCAGCACCAAGGTAACCTTCGGACCCGGCGAGACAGTGAAGGACCACAAGCCACGAGCACTTGAGCGTTCCAGTGTGTACGGTGTTCTTGGACTATGTGGTACATGGTGATAGCCGTCGTGTAGTGTCTATGCGATGCCCCATCCACTCTCAAGTGAAAGACTTTGTACGTCATCGGTGATTTCGACCACTCGTCCTTGATACCTCCCGGCATTGCAGGGGTATGGCCTGCGCAGCAAATAGATGCCCAGATATAGTTAGGATCAAAAGTATCGACTGATTGCGGCATTCTGGAGCAGCCATGGCTGATGATTTCTTTGGCTGTGATATTGATCTGGACGACCTGGATGAAGTCCTGAAGTATGACGAGGAGCAAGAAACCCACGAGGAGGCAACATGCCTTTTCAATGATGTGCAGAATCGCTACGTGTGCTTTCGCCAGACCTCCCCCTTGGTGACACCGCATCTCCGGTCGCATGTCCTTGATTGCCAGGCAGCGGCTGTTGCAGATGCTGGAGTAAGTCGACAGGCTGCGATGGCCATCGCGAGCAGGCTTGAAGTGAGGGTGCTAGCCTGCAGCAGCTTGCAGCAGCTTGGCATTGGAGTTTCTGGGACCCCGAGGGCTCATTGGACACGCCTTGACCGAGTCTGTGATGCCGTCACAGGCTGGGTTTAGTGACCGTTCGTGCTCGGGCTCGGGAGCAGAAGTGCGAGCTCTTCGAACTGGAAGCTGCTCGCTGCTCTGAAGCTTTTGAGCGTCAGTGCCCCGGTCAGGAACTCTGCGGTCGACGCTCGGAGGGAGACTAGCAAGGCACGTCGTCAATTCACCATCTCGCCGCTTCGAGTCCTCCTACATGACAAGCCATAGTCATCGTGAAACGGTGCACAGGTGGTGGGAGGTTTACACTTCCAAGCAAGTCGTGCTGATCAATGCACCTCCACTCCAGGTGTCTCGCTGGAAAACAACAAGGGAATGTAGAAAGAGCTGCATGGCACGGGTTTTGCAATTTTTACTCGTGTCTTCTTGTAGCTCCTCTTCTTCTTGTCCTCTTTATTTCCTCAGTCTTCTTATCATTATTGCATTGCTTGTGTTGGTGTGTCTCTGTGTGTGTGTGTGCGTGTGTCCCAAATCACCTATGAGATATCAGGCAAACGTTCGGCCGGTAGTTTCGTGCTCCATGCGCCGGGAGTGTTTAGGGCACGCAGACGATCGAGTTGACCAGAAGTCAGAAGTTATACATGCTGAAAAACTTAGTGTACCGAGGTTCCCATGAAGATGATGCAGGTTCTTGCGGCATGCCTGCCAATCCTTCTGCATCCATCGTCTCTCTAGGGATGGACACGGGTCCAGCTGGCGGCCCAAGGCCCCTGCGTAAAAGATGCATCCAAGGCCACCTTCGGTGGAATCTTTTGGCTTGGCTGGAACATGAAGTTCCTCCAAAAGGAAACCCTCCACTCTCCTGTCATCATCCGGGAGATGTCTTTTCCGCAGAGGCAGCAGGGGGAAGCCTTTTTTACGAAGTCTGCTATGACGTTCTTCAAGGAGTGGAGAGAGTTTCTGGTAAGTCTACAGGGTGGCTTCAAGCAGTTTATCGGTGCGTTGTCCGGTGAACGACCGGGAATTCGTGCAGTCGCATGCTGCCAGTGTAAGTTGCTGAGCCTGTGTGTTGCGTGTTGGATTCGATACTCGTTCGACCACTCAGCCGTGCTAAGCCAAAGTCAGAGAAATGGGTTGTATTCCGGCCGCGTGCGGAGGAACTTCTACAAATGTCACGACGTGGACATGGACTGCGACGACTTGAATCAGACGAGTGCTCGTCCCTACTGCACACTGTCTCAACTTGAAGCAGCAAAGGACTGGGTCCCGTATCAACACCATGTGGGCATGTGGGGACAATCACGCCATACCGTCGGTTTTGCTGCTGTGCGTTTCGGAACTCGGGCTGGCATGTGCGCCTGCTGTGTTCAGGATGCTTTGAGCAAGTACTTTTTCACGGATTCCCCGCGTCATCACAACTACAGCAAGAGCTCGCTGGCACGCAAAAGCATGCATGCTTCAGAGCCTGCATGGACAACTTCATTGTGAGCAAACGTGAGATAGATGTACTGTGCACGATCTTGTCGCATGCCAGACTGCTTCCGCCAGGCCGCTGGCCAACGTTGCCCAAGCTCATTACTGGCTGTGGCTTGGCAGCAGGTGGTAGATGCCCGCCAAGACGTTGATTGAACCCTGTCGCGATAAGCTATGATGGTGCTCAGGTGGCATTTACGACATGCACGACGTCTTCAGGAAGTCTAGCAAGAATGTAATGTTGGCGACCGCTTTCACGAGGACGCGCCAGAGGCAGTGCAAAGACGAACACTGCATCTGGCAGAACGATGGATTCGAGGTTACGTTCGTTCCCAGATGCTGACAGCATGCGTTGTTTGTCACTCACAAGCAAGGAAAGTCGGTGATTGTGATTGTGTGCTGTCCTGAACATTAGGTTGAGGACGTGGAGCGCTTCTTCCTCAAGCTGCGCCATGTGGTAAAGTTGCCACGGTTGCGCTGCGGACAGCTTGTCACCAACTTGAACGGTCTCACCCAACCCATGAAACAGATAGAATCGTGAGGGCAGACAGCATTTATAGGGTCCATTCAGCCCTAATTATGAAGGTATCTGCGGTTACAACTGACAACAACTTGGCATGATACGCTTGGCTGCCATGTTGGTCTACGCCAGGTCAAGCTGTCGGAAGGGGGAACTTTGCGCAACGCTGACAGCACCGGTTTCTTGCAAGCCAACAACGAAATTCGACTGCTGGCTTGCGAGACTTGGGGCATTACATCGTTTTCGCATTAAAGCACAAGTGCCAAAAAGCAATAGGTACAGTATTAGTGGTTTTCTTGTACCTGGAAGCGACACGTATAAAGAAGGGGAGAGAAACACAACCGTTGTAAAAGATTGCCATGCCACACTTGCTTGTCAAGCTTCCTCCGCTAGAGTATTTGCTCGACTTCCCACTCCCTCCGCTAATTGCTTCGGGAGGTTGGCCTAACTAGAGGTAGCCCAGTTAGAGCTGTGTTTTTTGCGGGCAGGGTCTCTCCGCATCTAGGCTCACCAATCCACGCTGCTGTTGGTTCCATTACGGGTTTGTGGAGGTCACGCGCCCGACACATCTTTCGGCCTTTGAATATGCGTGCCTGATCACGGGCGAAACGATGCACAAGTTGGCGCTGCACTAAGGAGCCCCACAAGAAGAAGTTGGGAGCATGTGGGTATTCAGGCGGGTCGCACGCGAGGATCGCCCCCTGTGGAGACATGAATCTTCATCTTGAATTCAGCCATGCCGCCGCAGCGGCATTTACCTTGGATTCGGGTCGCCTCTAGCTGGGGACTGATTGAGTCGGAACTTACTAAGTCTGGAACTCAGTAAGTTTCACTAGGGTGGCATCTGAGGGTGTAAAGCCGACTTTAGCTCTAGCATGAAAGTTGATAGGCAGCTTTGCATTGCGTTGGCCCTCCTCCGCGATTTTGTTACCAATCCAGTTTTTTGGGGGCCGGGGATGGGCATTGTGGAAGCACGCTGAAAGCTCTCCAGCTATCGCCTTGTTGACGACCCTGATGCCTTGTGATTTCTTATATCGGCGGATCAGGAAGCGGTCCGACCATTTCAGCTCTTGCCCAAGGACTGGTGACGAGGCTTGCTTCACGACTGGATTTGCGGACTTCCTCTCCTTGCGCCTTGGTTCACCTTGAACACCAGCTACACAACTCTTCAGCGTCACTTCATCGCCTCCGTCCTTGGCGCTGTGAAATATCGGACCATTGTCGAAGGATATCCGGACAGGTAGGATACCATGACAAGCCACAAGTTGGCATAATTTCAGCCGAGTCTGACGCAAATACATCGGCATTAGGATTTTGCACATCTTGTGGTGTGTTTCGTAAGCATGGCAGTATGCTGTCCATCGTCCTTGTATTCCGCGGAGCACGAGGCGAACTCTATTGAACGCGGCGAACATCTCTCTGGACGAGGCAATCACGCAAAATGTCTCGCGACGTTGGTGGGGCACGCACTTGAGCATCGCTTCTTGGCACTCACGAATCGGTTCTGTAGCAGCCGCAGTGTCCAAAAACTCAGGGAAGGGAGGAGGCGGTGCTGCGGGAATCAGAACTGGAAGTTCAGACTGCTGGCCCAGATTCACAGGAACAACCTTGCTGGGGCGAATGTAGTCCGATCCAAGCACATTACGTGGTGCGTAACTAATGCATACATATGCATACTAATGCAACGATGCACGCTGTGCCACTCACTTCTGATTGGGAGGGGCTGAACAACAAAGGATATTAGATACTCAAACGCGGATCCCTGGACATACTGGAATTTTTGGCGCCCGGAGTTCTTGAAGTTGATTCCGACCTACACCTATTCTGTGCGCAGAAGTGGCAACTTGGCTCGAAGGATTTCATGCTTGTAGGATCTTGCGGTCATGTTGCAGAAGCAGTCCAAGCACGCGCTTGAATGCCTTAATTCGAGCTGTTTCAAACCAACCCTCGGCGCACTGAGTTCCTGACTAAATGGGTCCTGTAGGAAAGCACTGAGGCGATTATGCTTGGTATTCTCATCACAATACAACCGGTGCGCATCGCAAACTCACGAGGATGTCTGGCATCACAATGCAGCGCTCAGCCTGCATTCCGCATGCCTTCCCTCGAAACAACTTTGATTCGAAACAACTTTGCTTCGGGGACGGGCAATATTGGGCTTCTTGGGGTGTTAGTCAGGATGGGAGTTTGGTATGGTTTTGTATCAGCACCTGTCCGCAGCAGGTTCCACCTGCATGGGTCCATGTATTCCGGCAGCGTCATGCACTTCCTGAAAACCCTTGCCATCTTCACCATTATCTGGGAGATCACAATGGTGGTTGTTGCACGGGTCATGCTCTTCATATACCGCAGGGTGCAGTGCTTGTCACTGGCACACCTCCCTCACTTGAGACTGTACTTTCGCCAAATGACAACGCCCCATCACCGAATCGTGGCCGGTTTGAGCTACGAAGAAGCTCGGCTGCACTCCCACGACAAGAGAAAGAGGTGGCGTGAACCTAGACCTGATACGACGCACCAGAGGCCCTGGCCAAAGAGCTTCAGGACTTGCGCCAGGAAGCAGCCAGGGGGCACTTGAAGACCACCGTGCAGGCCGCGCCAGGATTTGTGCGTGAACCTGACGCTGTGGACAAATTGATGTGAGCATTGCTGCTGGCAAGGATTCTGACACGGAGACCTCGCCAACTTCGGAGCACACGTCTCATGTTTCGCAGTAGCTCCAAAGACGGGCCGACCGAGCCATGCAGAGGTGTGCAAAGAGCTTCTGGTAGCAACCCTCCCGTAATGCTAGCTGAAGAGCCTGAAGTCCTTGGTGTGGGGGACCGAGCCTGGCAGGACTTCTTTGTAGAGATTATCGACGATGCCGCATATGAAGAGGATGAGGACAGCTGAGTCGACAGCAAGATCAGCCGCTGGTGATCTTAGGGAAAGCCTCTGACAGGAGTTCTACCTCGACTTAAGCCATCCCAAACTAGATGGCATGGAGCACCCCCAGGACGTTAAGGCGGCTGCGTGTGCTGTGTCGAAAATTTGGAATCTGCGAAGTCGAGTATGCGTATGACCTTGCGTGCAGAAACTTGCGGAGCATATGTCTGTGCATGAGAAGGGGAAGGATTGCTTTCGGATGTCTCATGTGGCCTTTGCAGGTGCGTGTCCGTCCTGGTCTTGGAACAGTCACTGTTGCAACTTGGCCGCAGTGTTTGGACCAATTCACATCGGCCTGCCTCGTGGCATCGGCATTGCTTCCTTTGGGTCCCACGCAAGCCTCTGAAGCTGTATGGTGTTGTGCGCACATTGCCGAGGTCATTGTAGATGACGATGAGCCTGGGAAGCTGCGCTTTCAGCTGAACGCTCAGTGGTTCCATGTCGCGGCAAAATGTGGCAACCGCGCGCCCGCCCGCTCCCGCCCGCCCGCCCGCCTGTGCGACAGCTTGCCGCGCAGAGGCACGAAGGCACCCACGAACCCTTGCGTGGTCGCACGCGCGCACACGCATAGAGAGAGAGAGAGAGAGATAGAGAGATTGCTGCTATAGAGAGCGCGGCGATGAGGCCGGGAAGCACGCTAGAGTACAGGGTTTGGGGGTCACCGACAGGCAGACTCTTCCTTTCGCACAGACCGTGGGGGAAAAATCCCCGAGCACAGCTGCCCCAAAGCCTCTTTCCCACAAAACAAGGGGGAAAGGGGGCGCCTTGGCGCGGGCTTCAGCCGAAGCCTGACCCCTGTGAAGCGAAGCGAAGCGAAGAGAGATTGCTGACTGGACTCATCGTCTTGTTATGGTGCAGCTTGCCTAGCCGACGATGTGACCTGCAAAACCCGTAGTTAGTTCTGATCGGAGTCTGCAGCAACTCACCACACGGTGATTCGAGATGGGGGAGTTGGGAGACTAGGCCGGTGGGCCGGGGGCAAATTAATATAGAAGTGAAGGTAGAAGTTGTCGGGCATCTACTGATGGTGCTTTTACTGATAGTGTGAGAATGTGGGTATGGTTTCTGGTAGTCTGTCATCCTTGTGAGGCACGAGCAGGTGGAGGTTAAAGAGCGCGAGGAGGACCGAATGGCCTTTCGTTTTTGTGACTTAAAACCTCCGGTTGCTTCAGGAGACCACGCTCCGCATCATCGTGGAGCGCTACAATGGTGCGACAGGCCGGGCCTGGGCGCGTGGCCGCTGGCCGCTTGGCTTGAACTTATCCGAAGCCGCCGCAGGAGCCATCGAGTGCCGCTACTACACAGAAGACAACTCAGCCATTGCCGGCTATGATTACGTCGAGGCACGCTGAACTGCACGTTCGCTTGCGTATGCTTGCGTAGGCGTAGGCTTCCCCAATGTTTGTGCTTCCGGGAGGCTAAGGGTGCCCTGTACTTTGATCATACAGCTTCTTGTCCGCATGTAGTTCTGAAATCCAGCAAAGCGCTGCGGAGCTGAAGAAGCACGGCCGTCCTATCATGAGCTCCTAGCGGTCCCAGGTAGTCCCGTCCGAGTGTAGTTGTTGACTGTTGCGATAGCTGAAAAGCGAGAGAGGACGCCTCGCAGGTTTGGGGTCACCGGAATAATGTGCCGACAGCTGCGAGCTTTCTAGCTTTCAACCTCAAAGAGCCAGCAACCAAGGTGCAGACGGCAACAATCGAAATCACTATCAAGCCCAAGGGTCGGTACGAGAGAGCCTTGCCGGAACGTGGAACGACTTGCACAGTCACTATGTTTGTGTCGAACAGCATGGACGCTTGTGGAGAGCTTTGACGCGTGGCTGATGTGACAGCCGGCTTCATGCTAAGACACGTCGTCCTTCAACGTCTACCTGGTAGAGCCAAGCGGCGGCGCGAGCTTCGACCGTTCCACAGATGGTGGCTCCACAAGCCGCCCGGATGAGTTGTTTCAGTCTGAGAGCCCGCCACCCCATGCTCTGCCGCTATGCCTTGTGAGTTAGTGGAGAGTGTTCCGTGATTTCTGTGAATGCTGCCGAAAAGGAAGCCAAGACAATATTAGCATACCGTCTCTTCGTGAGAGCACGAATCTGTGAAAGATTGCGTCTACTGCGATCTAAGGTTGCATTTGTAATGTTGTCATCAAGGCCGACGACGAGCGAAAGGCAGCCCTGGACCGCATCGCTCCTTGATGACGAATGCCAACAAGATGGTCTGTGTGCAGTTCAGGGATGGGCAGGCAGCATCTGAGAGCCAACCAAGGCTAGCCAGATCAACTGGAACAAGCATGCCCTCGGCTACTCCAATTGGAAGGCAACTCCGAGAAGCACACGCACGCGCATCCAGTGAGAAGTCTGCCTGCACAATCCTGAACAGGAGCAGTTTCGAGATGCGGTGTTTATGAGCAGAGATGATGACGAATCTCTGCTTTACGTTGATGCCGCATGCGGCCATGCCTGGCCCACATGAACCACGGCTTTCCGTGCCAGCTGGCCTCGGTCACCTGCTTGAGAGCATCGCTGATATGCGCGCTTTTGATGTTTGCGCCGAGGAGGAGGAGGAGGGTGGCCATTCCTGCATGGACATGGTGATCCACTTCGTAGGCGGACGAACCCAAGCGAATTGATGCCAAACCGGCCGAGTGCGTTCGGGATCTTACGCTAAGAGATAACATCTTCCAAGCCGATTCGAATCGTCGCAGGCATGCCCTGGAAGCTCCTCTTTGCCTTCATTCCACCCGTAGACTACTGCAATGGTGCCTCGGCATGGAATCAGTGGGAAACTTGCAGGGAGTCGATTCACGGTTCGGGACGGCTGCAAACCGACGTGCAGTGTGTCGAGTCTTTGTGCAAAGCTTCTTGCCCTCCAATGCATTGGTTGCTTGCCCGCGTGGATGCGCACAGTGTGTAGAAACAGAGTCGTTCTAAACCGTTTAGGTTTATCGGTGTTAACATTTTAACATGTTTAAACATGGCCAGTCTGTGGATGTTTGTTAAGGATGGTCGCACTGAGATGTAACCGCATGTCAAAACCAAGGATACTATATATGAATATGTATGTATGTATGTGTGTATATATATATATATACGCATGTACACATGTCAAACAGGGCATTTAGTCATGTTTAAACACACTTGGACTCCTGGAGTGCCACACTTGAAGCCTGAATCATGGCGGCCATGTCTGAAATGGTGCCAAAAATTTTTCCATGAGTGCCCCACATCCCCAAATGTCTAAGCGCATGTTGAAGCGCCTCCTGGAGTGCCACACATCTCGAACATGCCTAAACACATGTTTAGATTCGTGGGTAAACGGTGCCACACGTCCCGCACATGTTTTCATCAATGCTTAAACGCATGCTTAAACTGTTCCTGGAGCGCAACAATCCACACATGTTTTGAGTCAACTGTTCCTTAAGAGCCATGCATCCAGAAAATGTTCAAACCAATGCTTAAACTGATGCTTGAACTGTTCTGTGAGTGCCACACATGTCGAAAATGGGAACCGATGTAAAACGCCTTGAGTGCCCCACATCCCGAACATGTTTAGGCCATTATGTAAACGGATGTTTAAAGTGTTCTTGAAGTGCCAGTGTCCGGAAGCAGCCTTAAGTTGCCGCCTCGTAGGTCCATGAGAGCCCACAAAGCCCAATACACTGTATGGTACAAGTGCACACTTAGGTCCTAGGTTTAAACACATAGCTTTTTGTTTGGTGCAACCTGCCTAACGAAGCCTGGAGACCTGGGGACCTCGAGCTTGACACCTCCTTGCCCCACCTCAAGATCGCCACTCCTAAGCCCGTAGGTATAGGTTTGAACAAGTTTAGACGGTTTACATGACTATATAATTAGAGGGTTGCGCCCGTGCTTTGGATCTTGGACGAACGCGATTAAACATGCAGTGCGAAACATGTAGTTTCGTGTCGAACATAGAGCTGGTTAAAGCAAGTCTGAAGGGCTCAGACATGACTCGTCGGAGGGTTGCATCGGTTTAAACGTTCAGCGCTTACACAGCGCCGCGTTTAAACGATTTAACCAAGAACTCAAGCCCCGACCCTGGGTGGCCGTGTGATAGTCCTTGGTCTGGGTTGGTTCGGGCATCAGACGACCTGTCCCGACAAGCATCACGAAACCCCAACCTCAGATTTTGTTGGAATTCGTTCCTGTTGTGATGGTATACAGTAGTCGATGTTGGATTCTGGCGGAAGGTGCTAGGATAGTGAGTAACCGTTGCCATGTAGAGCGAAGATGTACTGTGCAGGGCAAGTAGTGTGATCGGAGGCAGAATAAGACGGAAAGTTTCGCGACCACTGTAGGGCAGTATTTCTTCGTGTTGGGGCCTTGCGGTGCCCGTGCAATGCGGGCGCCACGCATCCGTGCCCTCCCGCGCTGCAAGCATGTACCGAGGATGTGTGAGGTTTCGGTAAGCCATGAATACCGATGCCCGAAGTATGGCGAGCTGGGCAGAGCTGCAGCACGGCGCGCTCGCGTCATGGAATACCGCCAGTTGCTCGGTCCAGGCGAAACAGAAATTGAAACAAGAAGGCTCAACATAAGAGAAAACGACAAGCGCAGACCCAGCTGATGATGCTTGGGGGGCTCAGGCCAGCATCATGAGCATCGTTGGGGTCGCGTGGGCCCTTGCAGTAGTTATGTGCAGAAGAAAGCAAAAACACTTCGCAACATCTGCTTGGCAACAGATGCAAACCCAACTGATGCTCATGATGCTGCGGAAGCAGAGAGAAACAGTGTAAATACCATCGAAAGTGCTGCGAATAACGCTGAAACCGAAGGCTGCCCCTGCCCTGCTTTGTCAGCGTTTTAGTGTACACGCTATATTCTGTTACGTGGATGCAAGGCTGGTGCTGCTTTTTCGTGGCGCTTGGCATGATAGTGCGCTGTCCGCAAGAAGATGGTGTACAGCAGCCGGTCTCTCCTTTCCGAAACACTTCTTGTTGATGTTCTGCGCCACACTCCTCAGGCTGTGCTGACGGCAGTAGTTGGCGACCTGGCCAACCTCGTTGGCTGCACACTGTCCCTTGGCTGCGTCTGCGATGTTTCCAGTTCGCAGCACCTTCAGCAAAGTTCGTGACGACCAGCCCTCTCAAGGAACATCGGGCCGGAGATCACGGCCATTACTTTCGTAGCCTTGGGGACCTCTTTGCCTGACGCATAGCTGCAAAATCCGGGCAACATCCCTGTATCATTGCATTCACCCAGCGGCCTTGTGCTTTCACTCAAGACAAAGTGCCCTGGCCTAACCCGAAGCATGCTGACAAGGACACCTTTGCATCCAAGACGGCAGCCATTATGGATCCGTATGCAGATGCCTCCATTGGGAATGTACGCTTCCCAGAGTGAATGGACACAGCTTTGGAAGGTTTGCGCCGTGCGCAAATTCACGAGAGCCGTTGCTTTTTGCTCGTTGCACAGGACCTGCCTTTAGCAGTCGAAGTTGTTGCCCGGCCGAGTAGCCTCGTAGCAGGCACAAGTAGGATTGGGCCTTCGAGGCAGCTGGACGTCTTGAGGCTGGGCAGTCTGCAAATGACGCCATTTCACCGAAGGTCACAGGCAGCAACTCCGTCAACGTGTTCCTTGGTCTGGGCATGCCATTTCCCCAGTGCAAGTTGACTGCACGGCAGAGCGGAGAAAGATCGGATCGGTGCTCGAGTCTGCTCGAGGCCCTGGACGATTGGAGCGATTTACTGGCAGACTCAGAGTACGAGCGGAGCCACCTTTGCAACGTGGCTCTCGAACCTGCAGGAGAGGGATGAGTCTGTGCTCAGGGACATGGAAGCACGATATGCTAATTCCAAATTACAGTACCGATAAGGAAAGGTTGCTCAAGGTTGCCAGGGTTGGGTGTGCTCTAACTCCTGTGCTTTGTCATGCAAACTCTTCGGTGCTCAATGAGACCTTGGCCAAAAATGCCCACAAAAAAGTATTTTCCTCACATTGGAGACAGGCGAGCACGGTAGAGTGCAGTGATTGCTCAATTTTCGCACGCTTGCGAGGAAACCGGAAAATATTTCGAAATCAGGCCACTGTGGCGGTGTTGGGGGGACGGTGTTGTGGCCGAAACCCAAGCTTCGCGCCTGTGCCAGGCAGTCGATCGTGAACTACAACAACTTAGAATCTGCAGTCTTTGTCACCCCTGCAGGCCAGGGGGCAAAGCCACGAAGGACTGTGCCTGACACTCCTATCTTTCCGGAGGCTCTCTGTGGTTCAACCTCTTAGTCTTCTCGTGCAACGCGATTTGTGCTTGCCCAAGAAAGCGCAGGCGGTTCGGAGCAATTCTTTTAGACGGCTCCCTTCTTGCTCCTGGTTGTTTGGCCCAGGCGCTATTATGCTACTTTACCTGCGGCGTCGAACCTTCGGCGGAGAGCTAGGAGGGCCACGTGCGCGGCTGAGGGAAGTGCACATTGCACAGACTCTGCTTCGCAGAGATCTTCGCTTCTGTTGCAACGGGACTTGAAAGGCCGCTGGCAGCTGGCGAGCGCTGCCTTCCTGGTCTTCCAGTGGTGCGTCTACATTGGAGCCTCCTCGGCTTGGGTCGTCCTGGAGACCGAGTAATTTCTTCCGATTGGGGATCTTCCCACGGCCCACGGCGCTTCGTGGAGCCGTGGGATCAGACCCAATATCGCCAGGATGAGAAGTTTCACTTGTTAAAAGGATTGCTTGTGGGCGAAGATCGCCATCTGCTCGCAGCCCTGCTGCTTCATGTGATGCGAGATGTTCTCCAGCTTTCTTTCCTGTGCCCAGTGTGTCGGAAAAAGGCAGCAGTGCTGGGCGCAGCCAGAGCCAGGGCTGGCAACTGCATGGCAAGCGCAACTGCGTGGCCGTGACTGGTTCCAGTCAGGTCATAGACCTGTCACGTACGAAGTTCTGGTGTTGGCACCGGATGCAAGCAGACCCAACGGATGCAGTCCGGTCCAAAGTGATGACCTCGTGCGAGACAAGATCCTGAGAAGGTTTCACCCTATGCCTCATGTGTGAACTCCCTCCGGTCCATCTCCGCTCGTCCATGTGATTTCAACACGGGGTCCAGACGAGCAGGGCAGCAGAAGCTTGAGCAGTATACGGGCCATTACCCCTTTCGGGACCAATTGTCTGCGCCGCTAGCGATTATTTCAATGTTTGAACCATGTCCCAAGCTGCAAAATCAAATAGATGCGGGGGCCGGCTGCTTGCTGCTACGGAGGAGGCTTGTTTCTTATAAAGTCCCGGCAGAAATGGGAAACCCACCGCCCGCTCTTCTGCCGCTCGGCAACAGCTTTGCCACAATGTGTATTGTGCGAAATCCTCACTTTCATTCCCGACACTTAGTGTCTTTCTTGAGTTCCGGAAGCACCAGCTGCAGTTGTGTTTCACATGCACTTCCGACACGGGTAAGATGAGCACAAAAGGGTTGCTCAGGCGACCAGAGCAACCTGCTCTGGGAAGAAATCCGCCTCGAAGCCGTGGTCGGTAGATTTTCTACATTTTCAGGAAGGATGTCCGACAAATGAATCTTCGGAAGTCGCACTATACTACCCCAAGCCAGCAGTTTGTTGCTGTAGGTTCGTGCTGTATACCAGTACGCTGCAAGGTTATCGGGGCTTCAAGAGTTGGTATTCAGGGCCTGGGAGCCGGGAGGAGACGAAAAAGATGTGACATCGAAGCGTAGACGAGGGATGCTACAGTGGATGCGAGGGACATTATGCGTCGGCCAGCAGCGGAATGAAGCATGAACGTCCCCTTCCCGAACTCCCAACCAAAGATCCGAAAGGCATACTCTAGTCAGTTGGGCGGGTGGGAAAAAGCATGGCAAACAGGCCTTCGTGGCTTCCGAGCATCTTTGCCATGTGTGTCATCTTTGCACATCTGCACTCCTGTATCCTAACAGGGCCAGCCTTAAGTGTTAGTGCGGTCGGCAGCGTGCTGGAGCACTCGGGCATCGTCCTTCCTGCGAGTGGGTTGATTGCATGCACTGCATGCTGCCTGGCAGTACCAGATGCAGCAGACAGTCTTACGATGAGCTGTTTGCAGCAGGCCCAATATCGGGAGCTCCTTGCCTTCATTGCTGGGCACTGCGAGGCTTGCGTTAAGGGCCTTGACCGTCCAGAGTCTAGAGTGTCGAGGTGGCATCAGAAGGGCTTGGGTGCAGCAGTGCAGCTATGTAAAAACTGACGTCAACCTGAAACGAGCAGAGACACGTCGATTGCAATTTCAGCCCGTGGTCACCTCGCAGCCTAAAGAATGCTGAAAGGAGGCGGCGCCCCAGTCCCCTAAAGTGCCCAGGCAGCTTATATAGTGGCCCAGTATGTCATCTTTCTAGGCGTAGCTTCCTCGGGCGTCGCTTCTCCAAAGCTGGGCCATCTGTACACAGTATGTTCTTGCGAGCTCAAGACGCCACAACGTCGGTTGCGCAGCTGATCTTTTTCCCAGCTGTACCGGAAGTGTTCCAAAGGAAGTGGGGCCCGTGTTCCTTGAGTGCTAGGATCAGGATCAACTGCCGACCACTACCATCTTGAGCTGTCGAAGCGGCTGTGTTAACTTATCTGAAAATGATGCGTGTGAGAAAAAGCGTGAGCTTGTGGCTGCTGAATTCCAGGAGGATCTTCATGGGCTTTCGGTGGCTTGACCGTAAAGTGCCAATAGGTTAAAAAAACAAATAATTAAGACCGTTGCCGAAAAAACTCAATTTCCTTCTCTAGACGGGAGGCGGGTTCGCCTTCTGTGCCACCCCCCGCTCCTTGGATGTGGCGAATTGCTGTTGTTGTTTCAATTGATCGGGGCTTCGACGTCGTGGTGATGGCATGATGAAGCGGTCATGCTACATTTGCAATTGATTGAAGAATGGCTTGCAGAGCCACGTTTGTGATTGTGTTCTCTTCTGCTGATTACGGGGCAACCTTCCCGGCTATCTGGCGCAGGTCCAGTGATCGCACCTTAACAGAACCAGGTCGGAATGCTGATAAGGCGAGTCGAGCATTTCAGATTGTCTTCGCAAGGTCAAGAGGGTCTTGTTGCATGCTGGGATGCGAAACGGAGTGTCTACCACGTCGTGGCAGCTTGCCCTTCAACTGAGCATTAGAAGGGGTCACGAGATCAGACAAGAGCTGTCTAGGAGCTTAGGATTCAAAGTTGCAAAGTAACTGCGTTCGCCCGTGTTGCTGTGATCAAGTGCTTAGCTTGCCGGGCCAGAGCCGCGGCATTCAGGCAGGGATCTCGATCATTGACCCACTTGCTGTCCAAAGAGCATGGGTATGCAGCTTCGCATGTGTGCTCCCAGGCTATGTCGCCAATTCTTTTTAGGTAATCCGTTGCTTGGGTGTCGGCATGCGTAGATATGCACAGTAGTCGTCGGTCGCGCTTTCATTTGGGGTTGTTAGCTTGGCTCTTGCTAGCTCGGCAGGGCGATGAAGGCCCTCGTGGTTGTGCAGTGCTTTCCACCACTGCTGAAGAACGCAGGCAAGGTAGTTTGAGCGACAACTTAACTTCTTTTTTTGATCATGCGGACATTTCCTGCCTCGCGGGTGCTACAGCAGCCACTCAGAGACTCATAACTGTTTGTGGGGCATTTGGAGGTGGGGTCTCCAAGCGCTACTTTACGTTATGTCGAGCATTGATCGATGGCTTGGGCCAGAGCCTCACCTGGGGATCTGTGCAGGTGGCTCACATGCCTGCTAGTGATAGTGCCGCTCTTCTGACATTGCTAAGGCTGGCAGGTGACCCTCATGACGCCTGTGGACTGCACCAGGAGTAGCGAGAAAGACATCAAAAGATGGATTGCAGAAGGTGCCTCAAGACCTGCGAAGGGGGGAAAGCAATGAGGCTTGAAAAGCTTTGGTGCACTTCGGAAGGCAAGCTGGTCCATCTGCCAGCTCGTGGGGCTGGCGGCTCGGAGCGCCGTTGCTCGGAGCGGGGGAGCGTTCGAGCAACTGCCAGGGCAGATGTTGCTCCGAGTTAAAGCACTGCAAGTGCTCAAACCCACGGAAGCTGCAGGTCCGTGTTCGCTCCTCCACTGACGGCGTCGCGGTCTTCCTAGTGGCTTGCCGCACGAACCCATGCCTCATGCTGCAGAGCAGCGCGAAGCACACTGCACAAACAGCCCCCATACTACGTTGCCGTTTGGTCGAACGGCACGAAGGCTGTGTCCTCACTTCGCAGGATCTCTTCTCCTATGCCAATGCTGCAGCGCTGCTGAGGCGATGCCTGGGTTGCCCTGCTAATCACACAAGCCCCACTCTTCGAGAATTGATGTGTTCCATGGCAGGGAAACCATGATTCGTGGAGGCTACGACTGTTTGTTTTTGGATGATGTGCTGCCCTGAGGACGAACCTGCGTTAAGTGAGACTAAGGTTGGAGGCAGTTCGATTCCGAATTTGTTTGGACATGTGGAACAAACCACGGTTCGCACATGTACATGTGGTCGCCGCGACAGGTTTTGAGGAGTGCTAGCAGAGAATGCTTTCATCAAATGACGCAAGACCCCTGGGGCAGACAGAGGTATCAACTTCGTAAACTGCGCACTTTCAGGGATGGCCGTGGCAGAATTGAAGCAGGAAGTGTCAGTGCGGTCAGCCATGTGGCGGAGCACTGTGCGCAGAAATATTCATGGCCGCACCCGCCTTCAAATTTCTTTCTGCAGCCGGACAGTTGTTGCCACGGTTCTGGCGGTACTTGCGGTGAGCCGATCTTGGCTTCCAAATTTCGCTCTTGTGCCGCAGACGCCAGCGGAGGATGAGCCGCCCAAACTCTTAGGAGCCGCTCAGCCATCGGAACAGGCCGGCGACAGCAATGAACAGCCTGCAGCCAGAGGCTCAATACCCTTTGCCAGAGTGGCCCCGCGCAAATTCCAGATCCTTTTCACTTGCAAGATCTGTGAAACCCGAAATTCGCACATGATCTCCAGGCTCGCATATCAACAAGGCATCGTGATAGCGACGTGCCCTGGATGTGGAAGCCGGCACTTGCTGGCGGACAAGACCGGACTGCTGGATGTTGGGATTTGGGACGTGGAGCAGCTCGCGCAACAAGGCGAGAACGTAACCCGCTTGACAACCGACGGGTACAAGCAGGTCGGTGCAGATTTGCAGGTAGAAGACCTGCCGGGCGTGGTGCAGGACGAGAAGTCTCCTCTACTGGTACGGAACAAGGATGGATTGATCGAAGCCTTGCCAGAAGAGAACTTAGGTGTAAGCCGGGCCGCTGACTTCATGGCAGACACCGCAGACGAGACCTCAGAGTGAGCACGGCCTCACCGCTTTCTGCTGATCCAAAGGCCCTCCTGGCCGGTTTGGCCACGGCTTTGTGTAGTTCACTGGCAAAGGATATCGAGGCTTTACAACTCTATTGTCAGAAGCTCCTCATGCGAGCACAATTGACTCTGTTCCATTCTTTGCCAGGGTAGAGATTTGCGCATGTGGATGGTTGGGCCAGGATGCCCTGGCCTCTCCATGCCTTCTTTCAGCACGGAAGTGTCGCAACAAACCCAGCCATGCCCCAGCCGAAAGAAAGCATGCCTGCACAACTTCTGCAGCTGAGTGTCGTCTGTCCTCGTCATAAAAAGGAATAGCAGTAGCAGCAG